CATACATACATACATACATACATACATACATGAATACATACATGAATACATACGTATACATACATACATACATACATACATACATGCATACATACATACGTACATATATATATATATACATACATACATATCCACATAGGTACAAACGTACGTGAGTACATCCGTGCATATGTACATTGCATTAGTGCATATGCACAGACGTATGTCTGTGACCCATGACATGTAATATATGATGTGTGGTATGGTACATGATCTGACAAGGCATGTGCCAGATGAGATGTATAATATGATCTTTGTGCCGATGGGTGCTATGATGTGCGATGTGATACATGGTCTGATTTACTTATCATACGTGAAGTATGGTGTATGACATGTGTGATATATAGCATTGTATGCGATGGCATTGTTTAGTATTGATGCTCTTCTGATATTCTGCAATAACGGCTGATGAAGCTATTCACATTGCTGCCATAGTCCAATGCGTGGGCTCCTACATGCTACTCTTGTCGACATGTTGCCTGGTTCCTGCTTCGAGATATCAAAGCGTTGAACCCGCACCCATCCATGCACCACCATCTTTGAACTCCCTTCCCAACTCCTCTCTCACGGCCCGGAACGTAAATTGCACATTCAAGGCGCGTAGTGGTGGTGGTAGTGATGGTGATAGTGCCTCGCTCAGTCCCAGGCATTCATGAGTGCAGCGGCATGCCTGTCCTTCCCAAAAAAATGCACCGGCGGGCATTCGCCGAAGGCCTGTGCACAACCAGTGGCGGCGATGGAGACCTGGTAGCCTCGTTCCCGTCGCCGTCGAAGCCAGTGGCCGGCCTTGCAAGCATAGCACCCTGTTGGACAAACATCCAAAGCACCCTAAGACTTACTTCTTGCATCGCTTTGCCTATCCGGGGTGAATCCTGGCTCGAACAAGAAACTTGTGACGGCGACGACTTCCCGAGAAACCCCCTCAGCCCCGAAGCCAACCCAAAGCGACGAACGAGCCTTCTCGGGGCGGGTGGAGCATTCTTCACCTCACAGAGTATCCCAAAACGTGAGATGTTCACCGGATATGACTCGACAGAGTTGCGACATGCCGGTAATTTTTAATGGTTTCCAGCATGCTCCATGCTCCTGTATAGCCTTGTTTCGTCCATCTCTACCACAGCATGAAAATCGGTCCACAAGATCCGGGCCGCGTTCTTGCGGCCCGAAGCTCCACCACCTGACCATGCACGAGTTGACTTGTCCTGTGCTGCTCTCACATACGATGCTCCCGTTATCATCCCCCAACTCCAAACAATCCAAAGTTCGGATCCCCAAAAGTCTCGAGACTTGAAGCACCCCCAGCACCTGCTGCTCCACCTCTTATTCAGAGGTGGGTGTAAAGGCAGGAATGCTACCAAGAATGACAACAATCGCGGTGGCAGCAGGAGCATCGGTGACAGCAGCAGCTGGATTAGTAGAAGCAGCAGCAACATAAAAGATGCAGAAAAACAACAGACACTGCTGAGTCTACAAGCTGCAACTGCTAGCACGACGTAGCGGCACGAGCGCCAGTGTTACAACCAAGACCCCAAACTCTAAACCCCTACCCAGACAACCCAATACCCCTTA